TCGTAACATGGCTCTGATACCATTTCGTCAAAGTGTGCAGCGGAGGGGTTAAGATTTTTGAGCCAATTAAAATCTTCATATGTATTTAAAATATCACAATGGAATTTATAAAATTCACTATTTTTTATTAAAAATTTTTCTTCAATAATTATGTTTAGTTCTTTAATTCTTCTTCTTAGATTGAGAATTAATTTATATATATCATTTTCTATTTTGATTGTTCTATTATCTATAGAAACATTTTTATTTTTTAATTTTGGATCTAAATATTCTGTAAAGAAACCTTTCAGATCTTCTTCTAAATATTTTAATTCATTTTCTGTTGCGTTTTTTAGATCAATAAAATTTTGTATAATATTTGGGTTTAAATTTATTAAAGATTTTTGATCTATATTTTTTTGAGGACCTAATTGAAGGTTTTTATACATTGTAGTGGCTTTGGTTGCAATTTTCTCAATAAGGGGTATTTTTGGAAATATTATTATTCAAAGGCTATTCTTCAAATGTTTATATTTTTTGATCTAATCTTACAAAACTCTCTTTTATTTAGGTTATCTAGAGATATTTCCTCTCAATACACTCCATTATGGGTAGAATTGTCACATCCTTTATCAAATGTTTAGACACGTGAAATGAATGATGACAAGACTTTGCATTTATTGATAATAAATCATCTCATTTAGTAGTGTCATTTAAAATATATGTAATTATATCATTGGTGGTAGAATAAAACAAATTTAATGATTTTTAATTATATAAATGTATGAATTCGGATTCAAATTGACTGGACCTATATTAGAATGGAAAACGCTTCTTGTCCAAGGCCCATGTGGCCCTGGACATATAGCAGGCTTCAACCAAAAGATGAGTGTTTGGTGTACTTTATACTTTGTACAGCTCCCTCAAAATGGGGTCCACCATTTTATTTAGTCATGGTTGGGCTTTCCAACTAGAATTGCTTGCACTTGGGGTGATTGTTGTGGGACCAGAGAAGCCAGAGTAGAGCTGCCAACTTTGAGGAGTGCCCCAGTTTCCTAATCTTGCTATTTCTCAACTATGTGGGCTTTCAACTATCTTTTGTCTCCAAGGAAAAAGGTCTAGGCCCACTCTCTATTCCAATTGCAACCGATTGAAGAAAGTAACTTAGAGCTATTAAACTTCTATTTGGTATGGATTAAAATCAAATTTTTAGTAAATTTTGGTAAAAATTGATGAAATGTGTGGTTGAAAAATTAAAGATCCCATATAATATGTGTTAAATTGATTTGAGATAAATTTGAAGTTTCTTCTTAACTTTGAAGTTGAGATAAATTGACTAGGTCGAACAAGCAGAATTCTCGATATGGAAAATAAATAACTAGAAATGAGTTATAGAAGGTATTATACTTGACACAAAAGGCCTATCTAAAAAGGGTGCTTAAAAGGTTCAATGTTACGCGTTTTCTACAATGTAAATTATACCTCAAGTATACGATGTCAAATTTTGTAATATATAAACGGAGTTAAAATGTTAAAAATTGATAGGGATTGAAATTTCATTTTATACTAAGTACTATAATTGTGTGCTATAATAGAATCAATGTTTTATCTAAATTAGGGATGATTGTGACGTATTCAATGAATAAATGCAATTCATACGAATTAATCTATATAGGAGGGTTTAGGGTATGATTTAACCCAACTATGAAATATGACTTTCAAAAACCTAGTTATATCTAATCAATTTTTCATGTTTATAAGCAAGGACCCTAATGTAATTTGATCCCCTCTCTCAAGTGCCGAGCAAAAAATTAATCCTAGAAATTAATTTCAATATCTCTACCCGGAATTAATTTCAAGATTTATCAAGATCATGGTTCTTAGATTAAACAAATTTCACAAATTCTATTTTTTTTCTCGAAATCCAAAAAATTTAGGTTGTGTTATTGTTGTGATCGCGCCTAAATTTCTCTCTCTCGAGTGTCGGAATTGACTAATATCTAATCATTCAATTAGTATCCAATTAAATGAAATTAACTAAAAGCATGAAATCAACAGCACAAATAAATGGAATTCAAAATTTTCTTAGAAATAACTAAAACAAAATCAAATCATATCCTTAAATTTTGGCTAATCAAATTCGAAAAGAATTATTTAGTTCATAATATGAGTTATGAAATCTATAAAATTCATAAAGATTAACATGAAAATAAGAAAGATAAAACTATTTTTTGAATGATTGAATCAATCTTCTTTGTCAAGTAGCATTTGCCTCCTTAATTTCTTGAATCTTGCCCCCTTTAATTATCTTTTCAAAATTGGTCTTTATGTTTGTATTTATAGTAACTTGAAATCTTAGAAAGGATAGGGTTGGATTGATTAAGAAAATAGTCCAAAAAAATCAAAACTCTTTTTCTCCCCTAGCGGTGCCTTGGTGCCACTTCCGTGCACTTTCATATGGAAAATAAGCATTGCACATTTTTCAGTATTTTTATCGTAACTTTTGTTTGATATCCGATTAAGGCAATTCAAAATATGTTGAAAAGATAAGTCAAAGGGCTATAACTTTACTTCTGATAACATTTTTCAATTCGAACATTTACTACGTCAAAAATGAGTTTCAATCTCTAACTAAAAATCTGGAATATATTTGTGAGGTTGAAAATGATTTATGAAAATATTTTGATCATCTTTCACTCGTTTTTTTTACTTCAAATTGCATCCAATCAACTCTTAGCACTCTTCAACTATAATTTTGTGATTTGAAACAACTATTGAAAAGTTACAATTGAGTCCTCAAACTTTGTATTTCACCATTTTTTGTCGTTATTAGCTTCTTTCTTTCAATTTAGCATCCAACCATCAAGTTTCACCAAATCAACATCAACTTCTCATTGATTCATACCAAAATCACTATTTTCTCCAAATTTTGCATCATTCACACCAATTGATTCAAAAATTCATTTATTCAACTAGAAAATACAAATAAAAAACATTCTAAAACTCTAAAAATCAAACGAATATCAAGATTAAGTAGCATTAATATGATGAGTAAAATACACTCATCATTCAATATGGCTGAGTGCAAGCGCGTGCTATCACCCTTCGTCATCTATAGGACGCAAGGATGAATCATGAATGGCTAGTGTTTTACAAGGCCCGCCAAGGTGGAGGCTTGGGGATTGGAAATAATGCCTTGGTCAACTCTGCATTGATCTCATTTGCTTTTGTAGTCGATGCTTACTTGAATATCAGTAGAATATTTATTGAACGGTGTACTTTTATACTTGGTTCAATCAGAATATTTATTGAACGGTATACTTTTATACTTGGTTCAATCCATACTAAGACACAAGCGATTGATTAGAGCAAATCCTATATACTTGGCTAGGGATAATCAGGCAGTTAAGTTTCAATTTCATGGGTTGGTTCGCTTTGCTAAGGAATGAAAGTGATAGTTCGACAGGTTAAAAGTTGAAATATTTTGAAATAGAACGAGTACTGATACATAACGTATTCATTATAACTATTTTGATGAGAACGTCCACAAGATTGAAATTTCATCATGATTTTTTTTTATTTTTTTTGGGAATTTCAATTTCGGGGATTTCAATGTTGCCTTGTTGCTATCAACTTCTTAAAACTACCTGGCTTCTCTTACACTTCAACTTTTCATTACAAAAAGCATAGAATGACTGGTCCGGTAATACACATATTCTTCTTATTTGATGCAGAAATGTATTAATGTTCCTAGTTTATAAAAATTTAGTATTCTTACGTAAAGGATGCTGCTGCAAATTTATAGATTATTTTGTTGTAAGAAAACAATTCCCAACCCATCAGGAGTTTTATGTAGGAACTTTAGATGGGAAAAACCGAATATCAGGTCGACAAATTTAAACCACGACCGATCCTGCAAATGCAAGATGGGAAAATCAAGCATTGGAAAGATACTCAGAAACCATAATGCTGAATTCTTACCCGGATATGCTAAATCCATCAGAATTTCCAGCAGCATGATCGCATAATTGACCACTTTTTGAAGAGGCCTCGAGTTGAGGGAGATTCCAAGAGTCTAGTCGATATAATTGCATGAAAAAAACCAGTAAAATGCGTAGAAGTACATAGGGACTTGAAACTGTATATTAACACACAGAGAAGGCAATAAAACTGCTGATAAATTTGACAAATGGGACACAATTTGAGAAACCTCAAATCTCTCAGGATATTCCTCATAATGAAGTTCTTCAACATATTGTTCTTCAAGATGCAAAGGACAAAACATTTATACACCTCGATATAAATACTTGATTTATATATACATTGTCAATTTCCCCGATCTGCATTGTTATTCGCTTCGCCCTCGTCCAAAAGAGTTGTGCGACGAGGCGCTAAATTCATTGTAAAAAATAATAATAATAATAATAATGGTACTAAAAAATTCTCTCTATTTTTATTTCTCCTAAAGTATAATACTATGTTTTCAATTTCAGATGTCATAGAAGTATATACACCTTAGCCTATTTATCAGCTAATCATAAAACAGTTCAAGAATTGCTAAATGTAATCCATCAGATGAACAAAATTCCATCCATCTGCTAAATTATTTGATGCAGAAAAACAGATTTCAGCGTGGATCATGTGTATCTATATGTCACGGATGAATTTTTTTTTCAGAATTTACATAAGACAACTCTAAAATTGGGTCGAATTCAAAACAAAGGTTGAATAGAGCACGAGGCAACTGATCGAGCTTTCAATGTTTATCTACACATTTTTGATACACGCACAGCATACAAAACTGTGGTGAATATTTGTGTATACATAGTAGTATTATATTTTGTATTTAATTGGCGAATTGAAATTGAAGCGTCCAATACAGTATAAGAGTCTTTTACTTCTATAACTTCCTATTTCTCTCTTGGTAGATATACACACATCTCAAACCCTACAGACCCCAGCCCTTTCTCATTTTCATAAAAAAGAATTCTAGAAAATTGAATTAATTGCTAATTTTTTCAATGCCGGAAAAGGATTTGCCGCCGGACCATTTGCGGTGCAAGAGGACCGACGGCCGTCAATGGCGGTGCAGCCGGAGAGCGTTGGACGGGTTAACTCTATGTGAAATTCACCATCTTCAAGGCCGTCACCGCCAGAAGAAACAGAAGGTGCCTGACTCGCTTAAAATCGAGAGAAGTTATTCGAAGAAGGGGAAGAATGGTGACAAAGGGGGTGTTTCGAAGTTGAAGAAAATGCAACTTTCGGTGGAGAAGAGAAAGCGGTGCCAATCGGAGGCGTTGGATGAGGCTTTGAAGCGGATGAAATTGAGAAAAGGGGACTTGCAGTTGGAACTGATCAGAGTGTTCTTGAAGAGGAAAGTGGAGAAGAAGAAGGAGAGAGCGTTGAAGGACACTGCAATTGGTGAAACGATGAAAGTGTTGCCTAATGGAGTCATGGCTATTTCGCATCCGCCTTCGGAACTTAGCAATCAAAATGGTGGTTTGGATGTGAAATTAGGGGTGAATTTGAACTTAAGCTTGTTTTCACAAAGGAATTTCCGATCAAAAAATATTGAACCACTCCCAATTGGTACAATGCAGGTTGTTATCTCAATTTTTGCATCAAATGAATTTCAATTGCTTATTTATTTTAACCATAAGGAATCAATACAATGTAGGTTCTCCTTTGTTTGAGAAAATGTAAATTTGGTTTCGAATTTTGTGTTTCTTTGAACTGTTTTCTATTTAAAATATTGATATTAGTGTTTGGATATTGCCACTAGGTTGTCCCATTTGCAGGGAGTGTGAAGAAAAGGAAAATAAAGAGATGCCATTGGTGTAGAGAAAGTAATAAACAGAGTATGATCAAGTGTTTGTGTTGCAGGAAACGGTTCTTTTGTGCAGATTGTGTTAAAGAGAGGTTTGATATTCTCATCTACTCAGATTTTTAAATATTTGCAGATGTACAGCTGGGAAATTAGATTGCATATATTTACCCTTCTGATTTTCAAATGAAAGTTTCTTTCTTTGTTGCTTCATGCTAATCTCTTTATATGGTTTCAACTCCAATTATAGTAATTTTATTAAAATTCCAGCTCATGTTCCCAGATGAAGCTGCCAATTCTTTTTTGGTGGGTTCATTTTTGCTATGCATAATTGATTAAGATTTTGATTGAAACAATAAGTATTGAAGTTGCAAGCTGTTTGAAAGAAGTGTACAAACTTATGTCATTAAGTTGAAAATAGATATTAATGTAATAAATTATGATGCAACGACACGGAAACATGTTGGATACACTGATAAGTGACATGACACGTTGCTAAAATGTTGATTAAATTCTTTAAAATTCTTTATTTATATTGTGTAAATTTAGTTTTATACTTGTTATTAATTTATTTTTATTTTTATTTCATTTTTGTTGAGATCTTTGAAATATGAATATATTTTTGTTATTTATTAATGATTTTGATTTAAAAATATATAATATTTCTAATAAAAAAATGATCATAGTAAAGTGTTTGAGGAGTGTCGATATCCGACACGTATCGGACAAACACAAACACGGACGTGCTATCTTAATTGAGTGTCCGTGCAACAGTGGCAATAAATATTGCTACCTGCTGAAATAGATGTTGTTGCTTTCTTTGCATATAGTAAGTCACTGGGATCAATACTTGTCAGACAGAGACATGCTACTCCAGTTGAAATGTATGTGCAATAGTGGCAATAAATATTGCTTCCTATTGATACAGATGTTGCTTTCTTTGCATATAGTAAGCCCGTGTTTGGTCCTAATTTTTCAAAAATCCTTCATATCCAAGCTCATTTCTAACTACACATTTTATGAGACGCACAACTTTTATCAAAGTCTATTAAAAATCTGTTTTATAGCTAAACCAAACAGGGCTAATTTTCAGTTGGAGTGATAGTCACTTTATAACTTATAATTTATCATTTCAATACAAATGTATAAAAGGAAAAAATTGAGAGTTTCATTGAGGTGAATTTACCCTCATTGGGATCAATCTAGCTCTACCCATGTCTACGTAGGTACTGTTATGAATGTGTAAATTGGTGCATAATCAGTAACAATCATTCTTATTTGTAACATATGGCGAGCAAAGTTCTATTGTTAATCCGGTAACAACAAATTTATTGGTCTTCATTTTGTCGTGAGCAATGAAGCTTCTTGCATGCCTGGGAGTTAAGAAGGGAGGCAACAAAGTCCTCAGTAATACAATTTCATTTTTAAATCATTAAATAGTATAGATTACAGGATTAATCAAAGTTGAAAATGGAACGAAAGAAGGAAGAACCCATTAGAGAACTTCTGAATCTAATCTTTGCTGCTAGAAGAAACATTTTCCATCGTTTAGAAAAAGAGTTAATGCTCCACTTTCACCCAAAATATTTTTGTAATAGTTGACCATTGAGTTTTCTACACTTGTTCTTCTTAAGACTGAACACTAAGGTATTATTCTGCTAGCATATTTAACGGTGACCATAACTTGAACTCTTTATTAAATAGTACTCCCTGTTTTGCAATTTTAATTAAAGGTCACCTGATAGTTTAAAATTCGAATGTTATTTAGATATTTTGAGAGGCACGAAGTGAAGGAGAAATGTCCTGCCTGTCATGGAACTTGCAATTGTATGATCTGCAAAAAACAACAATCTAAAGTCGTTAAAAAGGTTTGACATGAAAAATACTATGTCTTGAAATTTTGCATTTTTTCTGATAAACATTGGATATTGATGCATCTATTTCTTTATAATTCTTCTTCCAGGAATGTTCTACAAGTAAAAGGAGGGTTAATAGAATTCACTTACTTCATTATCTGATCAATATGCTTCTTCCAGTACTGAAACAAATGAATTGTGACCAGAGCACTGAGATGGAAATAGAAGCTCATGTAACAGGTTTTACCAACATCATGCTCAGTCACTGTGTGGCAAATCTGTTTCCTTATTTGATGTCAAATCAGTTAGTCTTAAATGTTCCTTAACAGGCAATGAAGTCCAGATTCCACAGGCCAACTTAGGCTTCCAAAACTTACGATGCTGGTAAGTTTCATCTCACCGCAATAGTTGATTGTGTGATTGAGACCCTAATTTGGCTGTCTGTTAATTTTTTCTTTTTAACATGGTGAATTGAAACATGGAGCAGCAACTGCAGAACTTCCATTGCGGATTACCACAGAAGCTGCACTAAGTGTTCCTATAATATTTGTTTAAGTTGTTTGGAATTATGTCGAGGGAGCCTATGTGGAGTTAAGCTTAAAAGTTGCAAGAAAAGGAAAACTTGTCTGTCTGATGATGAACTGCTGTTAAAGATAAACAATAACATTTCAAGGAAAAGTTATGGTGGGATGTCCTCTTTGTCTCCCATGTCATTGCAAAAGTGGGAAGCTAATGCAGATGGCAGTATTTCTTGCCCATCCGTGGATGTTGGGGGTTGTGGAAACAGCCTTCTTGATCTAAGATGCATATTTCCCTCAACATGGACTCGAGAGCTGGAAGTTAGAGCTGAAAAAATACTATGCAGTTATCAATATCCGGAGGTTACAGATGTTTCTTTTTTCTGCTCTTTCTGCAAGGGCATTGATCATAAAGCTGGTGTAGTTAAGACACTGCAAGAAGTGTCTAATAGAATAGATTCTAATGACAACTATCTCTATTGTCCTACTTTAAGAGGTCTTCATCAAGAAACAATTGAGCATTTTCAGAAGCACTGGGGTATGGGTCATCCTGTTATAGTTAAGAACGTTCTTAAGAGCACCTCAGGTTTGTGTTGGGATCCATTTACCATGTTCTGCTCTTATATCGAGAATAGGAGGTCCAAACCCTACAATGGGGATGATGTGGAAGCAACAAATTGCTCAGATTGGTGTGAGGTTAGTGTCTTAATATCTCTATCTCTAACAAGGTGATAGATGAAGCAACTGTTGAAGCAATTCGATGACGAATTGTTCATGTATCATATTACAAACAATGCCATGCTGCATACCTCAGTTTTGGTGGTTCTATGTGAAGTCAACATCCATTGCTAAGTTGATACAGTCTTGATGAGAGCAATGCAATTGGCATACAACATAGTGAAAATCATAAAATACATTCTAAAATTAGTACATAACTGCAGCTAAATCATTTTTTATGCCTTCATTTTTTATAGTTGTTAATGATGGCATTAAGAAATGAGTAAGTTGTCTTTTTCCCTTCCAGGCTGTACATTTTCCAAATTTTTAAATCACTTAAGGCATTTTGGAGAACTATTATCAACATGTATGTTGCATTTATTGCACAGCTAGGAGAAACTAACACCCTCTCAGCAACGAGTCGATGTTTGAAACGTATTGGTGAAAACGCCTGGTGGCATGTTTAATTTACTTTCTAGTTTTGTAAAGTTGGACATGTTGCCGACATATTGCTGACACACCGATAGGTGGATGTCTAATTATTATTATTATTATTATTATTATTATTATTATTATTATTATTATTTTGTTTTATTTTTGGGTTTTGTATAGTCTTAATGATACTTCAGTTTCATATTCTTTTTCCATGGTCTTCCTTTTCAATTTTTCGTTATTTGGCTACACATTCTCATGAGTGATGATAGATTAATTTCCTTTAATTGGCACCGTGTCCTCAGTAAATGCACCTTGATATGCACCGTGAATTTGTCCTTGCAGGTAGAAATTGATAGGAAGCAGATATTCATGGGATCACTGGAGAAGGGAACACATGCAAGCGTTCGGCATAAAACGCTAAAATTCAAAGCTTCATTTTCTTCCAGTTTATTTCAAAAGCAATGTCAAGCCCACTATAACGAGATCTTACATGCTTTACCACTCCCAGAATACATCAATCCAGTCTCTGGCCTTCTGAACTTGGCTGTTAAGTTGCCGAAGGAATTGCAGAAGACTGACTTAGGTCCTTGTATCTATATTTCATATGGAGGTCCAGAGGAATTAATGCAGCCAGATTTTTTGACAAAACTATGTTATGAATCACATGATACAGTATGATTGTATTTCCTTTCTTTTTAACTTTCTGAACTTTTCTTTGTAATGCATTTGGACGATCTCAATTATCCTTTCCTGACTGAAAAATAGTTAATTCAGTATTCACACAAGGAGCATTTCTATAAAGGATTAGTCTTAGAAATTAAAAGATATTATAACTAATTCTGTTTTCTTTTCAATCCAGGTTAATATCCTTGCTTATGCAACAGATATTCCAATCTCCCAAGAACAGATTGCTAAGATTGAAAGTTTAATGAAAAAGTACAATACTAAAGATCCTCATGGGCAGTCAGCAGGCAATTCTAGTGATCAGAAAGGGAAGTCACCTATACAGAGTGAAGATACCGGTGAATTAGGCTTGCCATCCATTTTTGGAGACAGGATGCCCCTACCTAATGGAATCCACTCCAGCGATTCACTCAAGGACCATACATTAAGTGCAGATGAAAATATGTCTCTTGACAGTGACTCTGATTCTGAGGAATCAATAATTTGCTATGGAACTATCGAAAAATCTGATGACACTGATGAGTATTTTCTTGCCAAAGATATGGAAAGCTCTTGTTCTAGTGAAGATAAGCAAGGAAATAATTCTTGTGGTGCTCAATGGGATGTTTTCCGTCGGCAAGATGTCCCAAAACTTCTTGAGTATCTAAAGCGACACTCTAATGAGCTCAGCCATACTTGCTATTCAAAACATGTATGATTACTTGAGAAAAAGTTTTTGGTAGACGTTATTGACATATCAGACTAAATACTTGTTTTTGGGTATCTGCAATAGGTTGTTCATCCAATTCTTGATCAGAACTTTTATCTCGATGCTTTTCACAAATTGAAGCTTAAAGAGGACTATCAGGCACAAAGCAAGAGAAAGATTGTTGGAAGTACGTTTTGTTATGTATAGTGTTCTTAATATTTCTTCTCGATGTTCGTATGTAGAAAACCATCTATGAAAAATGGCTTTTACAGGTGAAAAGGATGACCCTCCATGGAATCAATGAAGCAATTGAAGATATCTGTAATCTTATGCACTCAGAGCAAGTAATACTCTGCTACTCGTTTCTAGCTTCGTTGTACGTTTTGTTTGTGTTGAACTTGTTAATTACTTCCATGCAGAAACTCTTGCACATTTTCTTACCAGTTTGCTTATGAAATGTGTTACCAGAAAGTTGTTGGTTGTGGCAAAAGGTTTCAGGGAATGCTAGATCTTTAGCCATTCACAGTTTCTTCATTATCGTTTGTATGTGTCATATGGTTCCATAGCCAGAAAAACATAATTAGCTTTAAAATCTTTATTGAATGGAGAGGAAATATTAGTTTTAAGGATTTGCCCCATTCATGTGCTGACGGGATCTCCAATAGGAGTGTGGATTGAACCAAAAAGTGTCATATCACCCCAAAATGCTTACATGGAATCTCCACTTAATTTTTTGTAGTTTATCTTCTTTGGAGGATGAGTCAATTCAATTTTTTTTACAGTTCATCTCCATTCTTTCACCATCCCCCTATTTGGAGGAAATTAAAATTCACATTTTAATCTAAATCAAAGTCAATAATTCATGACCACACATTTCATGTGACCCACAACTTTTGAACCACACATTTCATGTAACCCACTAAAATTTTATTTTAATCCCTACCAAACAAGGGCTATATTCTATCTCTTGTACACGTGACACACAATTAGTGCAATCTACATCCTCATTGGAGATGCTTTTCTTCCATTCCCCCCTTGCTTGGCACTTGTACAACAATTCACATTGTTGCGCAGGAGATGCTCTAAATTCACACTCCAGGGTTGATGGATTCGATGGAATTGGAAACATCCATCATCGGAAGAGATTAATCTGCATAGCTTGTGATATACTGTCGGCCTATGTTGATTTCTCCTTCTGTAAGAAGCAGATTGAAGAGGCCGAAATATATGCAATTGTATCTTTTCATGCGAAATTGATTTTTCTTTTATCAAATTCGTATGTCTATATGTCTTGCTTCCACAGGTATGGAGGTGTTACTGATATCGTTTGTAATTTCGTTACTAATGTTGCAGTGAAAGCATTTGAACTGGCTGTCTATTGTCTCATTGACTAAGAGGTAATTGAAGTAAAACTATGATCTCTCTCACTGCTTCTAACATGTTTTAGGCATAATAACTATTTCGCTTTATGTGATTCACATGCAGATTTAGAATAGTTTTGGCTTATAATTGTGTCATGGATGCCCAAAGTCCTAGCAACAATATTGTTTATACTTGAGATGAAATTCCTCTAAACAGTGATGATTTCAACCAGAAGTTTACAAATTGCGGAACGGGTTATGATTTATCTATTTTTTCCCATCTACTGCCATTGTTGTCGTCCAAGGTAGAGTTCTGATGCAGTTCAATGTCTGAAGATTTTGGGGCTCACAAGGGTTTTAGCCATTATAAAGTTGTCTATAAAATTTTCTCAGGATTATTTCTTTTCTTATCTTTGTCAATTTCTTTCTTTTGTTCTATAGCAGGATCATAGGAATTATTTCTTAGGCTATTTTTAGACACCTGTTTTGTATATATTTAGATATATTGTTATAGTTTTCGGCTTTTGATGGTGAAAATTGATTTATGTTCTTAAATTTCTTCAAGTTTTCTAAATTATTTTTGTCTATTTTGTTAATCACTTGTTTTATTTATTCAACAATTTCAAATGCTTTTTCTGTGGACGGTTGAAGAAAATGCGTTTTGAATGTGAGAGAAGTATAAAGCCGAAAAAATTATCAATATGTAAGGCTGGGCAAATTTTCCGAACTGAACCGACTGAATCGAATCGAATTGAACCCGATGGTTCTTGTCAAATTAAATACCCCAACGGGTATTCGAATTGAGAACCGACGAGTACGGTTCGGTTCTCGGTTCTAGACCAAAAACCGAAAAATCGATTAAGAATCGAATCTTTTTAATTTTTTTTTATATTGAGTAAATCAAATTATTTTAATTTTAATTTTTTCTAAACAAATTAACGATTTCTAAATTCAAATTTTTGTTCCAATAATTTGTTTTATTTCTAATTTTTTAAATTTTGGTCAATTACCCATTTTATTGTTTCATGTCTTAGCCAAGCAAGATCAAATCCACTAAATAACCCTAGACACCAACACTAAAGTGCATAACGTTGTCTCGACTCTCGCAGCCTCGCTAATATTCCAAAATCTATACAATCATTGGCCGACACTGTGACCTCCGATCGAAACTGTGACATTCGCCAACCGAAGCTTTGATCGTAACGATCATTTAAATAAGGTAGTTTACTAATCTCTGACATTTCAAAATCATTAAATGTATCATTAGTTGTATTTATATAATGTTGTTATAAATGTTAAAAATTTTAATTATAGTACAGAATCGAACCCGAACGGTTCCATAATTATATTTGAACACGATAGTTCCATTTACTAAATACCCGAAAAGTTCGATTCGATTTGGTTCTCTTTAGAACCGAACCGACCCGTGCACACCCTATCAATATGTATACGTATTGAGGTTGAAAGTAAACAATAGTACGATAAGTTAAGGCTTGTAACGCCTGGTCAGTTGTCCATAACATCAAAAGATGTGTGTGTGTGAAATTTTGTGTGTGAGAAATTTTTTGAAGTATTTCATCTTATTCCTAAAGTTAGAATAATGTCGCAATTACATAGAAGTTGACAATTTGGCAAAAAAAAATATGACCAATTCAAATGTAAAGTGACTCGTATAAATTAATTTTGACATTAAAATTAGAATTTTACATCCATCAAAAAAATTAAAAATTTTTACTTATCCATAGAAATAAAGAATAATGATAATGATAATGAATTTTCATTTAAACCATCTAGAACTTTCGCCAAGTCCGCTGTGTATTTAGATAAACTCATTTGAAAATTGTAAGATAAGCATTCCATTTCAAGATAAGAATGATTTCAATTATTTAATATAGAAATTTCTATCTAGTCATCACTTACTAAGCTTAACAAAAAGTAGTAATAAACTAATTTTTTCTTAGCTGGCAAATTAACTTCCGAACCTTTAGGCCCTTTTGGTAGAGTTTTTTAATTTTTTGGAGAGTTCTCAAAATTAATTACTTTAGGTCAACTTTTTTCAGAAGTTCTTCAATAAAATTAATTAAATATGTTCGAAAATAATTTTTTAATCTTAAAAATAAATTTTTGACTTTTGAAGTGATAGCAAACTCACCTTAATGATCTAAAAAAAATCTCAATCATGCCCCTCATAAAGTGGTCGAGTTGGTGGAGTAGATGAGCGCGGAGGTCTCTAATCACGAGTTCGATTCCCCTACCAACACTTTTTCGATCGAGTCTGTCGCACCAAACTTGCCTAATGCAATTTATTTGGTTGACATGGTTTGCAAGCTATTACGTTAGCCTGAGGGTTTATTCAGTACGCACACGAAGGATAACGGTTGCGGGTTCCCCGAAAAAAAAAAATCAAAAAAAATCTGAATCATGCCATGTTTAGTTATTGTGTTTAATTATTCATTAACTAAATTATCAAGAAATTTGTTTTGACTTTATAATCATCGGATAATACTTTGAGATAATTTTCAATACACAAGCTTCCAAAATCAACGTAAGGCATTGTTCATATCCTAAGTGAAACCGGCACATGTCAGTATTACTTGCAGAAACAAACACTTAGCAGTGGCCCGGCCGCCGGTTTCCTCCACATAGTCCGCCGGTTCATTACCCTTCACAGCCAGTTGTTTCAGTTCAAAGCTATCTATAAATTTAAGGCCCCTGGCCCATTAATCAGTCACAACCCTAAAACTGCATAAAAAGAAGCTTCAATTCACGCATAATAATCAAGAATACTAGTAATATCAGAGACTTTTCGATCGTTGCATTCTTTTGAACCAGTAATTATTGAACCTTTTCTGTATCTAGCGGTCGATCGATCTGACCTTTAAACGTGCAAACTTGTGTAAGAATATTTGGCTCGACCGAGAAGTGCACATGAGTATGGTGGTGCCCGAGGCGGGGATATGGGTGGTGCAAGAGATGAAAGACAGGGCTAGCTCTAAGTATGATTCCTCCATAAAAATTGTAAAGAGTTCGAGTGGTGGCGTATCTTCAAGGCATGCAAAGAGGTTTTCTAGTGATCATGATTCTGCTTCATTAAAGGATGCTAAGAGTGAGAAGCTAAAACAGGCTGAAGAATCTCTGAGGACTGTCATGTACTTGAGTTGCTGGGGTCCCAACTGATCGTCTCCATCTATTTTACCTTTTTCTTTTGCCTTTCTTGCCTTGTTGTGAAAGATCGTGACTTGAAAATCTATAAAAGCTCGAGGTTTAGAAGTAATTGTGACTAAGGGAATGATTTTCGGTCTTCTTGGCTTCGTAGGTGTAAGAAGTATGTATGTTTGTTATAGAAAGTTAATGATTTTCTTCAAATTTCTCATCTTTTTCTTAGCTCTTCAAGAAATATTATAGACAAATTGGGTTTATTAATCAAACAAAATTTATATCCCACGAGTTTTATTATAAACTGAATCCAAAGAAACATAGATGAAATCATAGAATCGCAGATTACATCATAAACCCTAAATCACAACATCAAAGCTTAGATCTTTCAATCGAAGGCTCAGACCACACCCATTAACCATCACAGAGGCACCGAGACTCAAAACGAACCCTCACAACCCAAACACACCAAGGTCACTTCACTGGACTCAAGAAATCAAACTGCCTACCTTCGGTCGATCACTCACACCAAGGAGAATCACACAAGAACACGATTATCACAAAGATAATCAACCAGAAATCTCACAAAGAGAAGAAGGAAGGATCACACAGACAAAGGAACTCGAAGGTTCCAAACGGCAGAGAGAAAAAGAAAAACAGAAAGTGACGATCCAAGAGCCAAACAGGGAGTAAGGAAGATATTTATAGTAAATATCATCAACCGTTGATCAGCGGGTCAATCCAACGGTCCAAGAGCGACTAATGGTGTGTGGGCTGAATATTGGGCTCGGTTAAGTGGGCCTTCTAGGTATATATTTAATGGACCAAGTAATAAATCCAATCTTGGGCCTTTTCATCATTGCCTAACAGTTGGACTGGATCAAATGGCATCACAGCCCAACAGATCTCCACCTTGATGCCAGTGATTATACAAGAAGCCTAATAAATGTAAAACACAATTTAAACGTCCTTCTCTAGAAGACAGCTTCCCAGCATTCTCAACAAGCATCAACTTTAGCACCTGTGCAGAACAAAACACTTAACCAGCATCAATGTTCAAAATTTGTAAACAAGACTTAAATTTGTTTAAAGGAATTACCTTAGTACCTACATCAGCTGGATTATACTGAGTTGCAATTTTCTCAAGTAATATAAGTTCTTTAGAAACAACATCTCTAATAAAATGCAATTTAACATCAATATGTTTTGTTCTTTCATGAAAAACAGGGTTTTTACATAGGTGAATTGCACTTTGACTATCAGAATACAAGACAACAGGGTTACTCAATTCATTAATTTCAGATAATAAGCCCTTAAGCCATAATGCTTCTTTTATTGCTTCAGTTGCAGCAACATACTCAGCTTCAGTAGTAGATAAAGCAACAATAGGTTGAAGTTGAGATTTCCAACTAATGCATGTATTACACAAAGTAAACATATAAGAAGTAGTAGATTTCCTATTGTCTCTATCTCCGGCAAAATCTGAATCTACAAAACCCTTAAGTACAACACCTTCATTACAAGCACTAAAGATCAAACCAACATGTGAAGATCCTTTCAAGTATCTCAACAGCCATTTTAGAGCACCCCAATGGTCTGGTCCTGGATTAGCCATAAATCTACTAAGTGAGCTAATGGAATGAGCTACATCAGGCCTAGTACATACCATAGTGTACATAACAGAACCTACGGCATTAGCATAAGGTACATTTTCCATTTGCCTAATGTCAGATTCACTTACAGGACATTGCTCTTTACTAAGCTTAAAATGGCTGGCCAATGGAAGTGAAACAGATTTAGAATTATGCATGGCAAACTTAGTCAACATCTTTTCAATATATGCAGTTTGCTTCAAGTACAGTATCCTACTGTGCCTTTTCCTCGTGATTTCCATACCTAAGATTCTCTTTGCATGTCCTAAGTCTTTCATTTCAAATTCAGCACTTAAAGACCGTTTTATCTGATTAATAACATGCATATTCTGACCAATCAGCAACATATCATCCACATAAAGAAGTATAAATGCAACAATAGCATTTTCATCATTTCTTTTAAAGTAAAGACAATGGTCATATTCACTTCTTATGAAACCAATAGTAGATACAAAATTATCAAACCTTTTGTACCATTGTCGTGGAGATTGCTTTAAACCATATAATGATCTTTTTAATAGACACACATGATCAGATTTAGTTTCATCAATAAAACCAGGTGGCTGTCTTATATAAATCACTTCATCAAGGTCACCATGTAAGAAAGCAGTTTTCACGTCCATTTGTTTTAGTTCAAGATCATAATGAGCAATAAGAGCAAGCATAACTCTAATAGTTGTGTACTTTATCACAGGTGAAAATATCTCATTATAATCTATGCCCTCTTTTTGCGTAAATC